ATAGCACCGCTCGGCGCGCCGCCCCATCGTGACTGGGTCACACTGCCCACTTCGCGAGCGGCGCGGCCTGCTGTGATCTGGAGATGGCATTACAGTAGCAATGANGGGGCGAATATTTGCATCAGTCCGTGTTATCTTCACTAACGATTATTTGCGTCCAAGCGCAAGCCGTATGCCATTGACACTCTGCGACGCTTATCAAGAGTCGCCCGCTGGCGTGCCGCTTGCGACGGCTGCGGCGTGACCTCGTTTCGGCGGACACGCGGAACGAAGCGCAACAGGAGAGAAGTTATCATACGATTGAGATTCGAGAGGAGTTCTACCGTTATTGTTGTATTATTGTAAGAATGTGAAATGTTGGTGAATCGAAAGTTCGTTCTGAAAAGCATTCACGCTGTTAGGGAATTCGGGAAGAGAAAAAGGTCAAAAAGTTGATTTTGATCTTCACTTGATTTTCATTTGAGAACCTTGCAACTGTCATCAACAACACAACTCTGACGAAACCTGGTTTGTGCGGGTGTCCGCGCGCCCGTTGAAACTGGAGTCATGCCGCAGCCGTCGCACGCGGCGCGTCAACTCGCGATTTTTGACAGACGCCCTAGCTGTCAGCAGGGCATAAGTTTAGAGATTGATCTACAGCAGACAGCCTAAAGAGATGATAAACGGACTAATGCAAATCATTCGCTTCACTGACAGTGGGTGATTCTGTAATGCCATACCCAGATCGCAGTGTGCTGTGCCCAGCGCTGAGTGGAAGGGGTCCCCTAGACGCGACGGACACTCGGAATGGATGTTTCCCGACTGGTACAAATACATGTGATCCACTTAATCGAATAATGCCAATTTATTTCAGGACGTTACAATGTCGTGGTTTTAGTGGTGGGATTTTGTGTATTACTGACTATCTGTTGCTTATTATATATAGCCCTGTACCGTCGTGACTCGGCTAAATTGCGAGATATCAATCGAGGTGTCATACCGGGAAACGTTACCTATACTCTCAGTACAAGATTTCAACTGACGGAAAATCTCAGAGTGTTGAAGGTTGATGTTCTTTTTAATAATAAAACCACGAAAATATCTAGAACAATTCGACAAATGCAACAGTCTAGTTTGACAGAAAGAGGATATGATTAATGTACTGCAGTCGTATCGGACAGTGGCCACGACCACGCTCTCAGAAACTGCTGTTAAAGACTGCGAGGATGTCTCATGAAACAAAACCGATTCCGAATTCATTATGGAAAAGAAAATTGTACAGCGACAGCTTAACTCCACTTGCTTCGTACGTGACCTTAGAGAGAATTTCAACTATAAACACTTGATGCTCACGACAGAAATACCTTTCTGATTATCTGTCGAGGGCGGATCTGTTGCTTCCAAATATGCAGCGCTTTTGGATCGAAAAACATACTGCATAAAGCGTAATAATTATCTAGATATTGTCTCCTCCGCATTCCACTTCCAAAAGGCCGTGTTCCAAAATTCGTGATGAGGTTTCACTTGAAACAGATAATAAGGATGCAATGAGAAGCAATGTTCGCCGTTGCAGCTTCTTATAGCCGGCTCTACGTTATAACACACCACTTACAACTCGCCCAAATACTCCTTCTAGCACACTTCGGCCATCATATTTACCCAGAACCTCTTCTCACTACCATANCCTGGGTCGGTTAATTGTTGCCAGGCTCTTCCAGGAAGATAAAAGCTCTGACTTGTACATAGGTTAGCCACCGCAACTCATTGTACAGGCCACATGCACATTCAATACGTCACTAGGATTCTGAAAGATAGTCGAGTGCGGGGTGCATACCTCGGACGGGATCTATCAACATCGATACACTTTATTACTTTGAAAAATTCTAATCATCTTCTTGACTACAAACTTATTTTAGATTCTGATGCAACTATCGATAGTAATGGTCGTGAACTGTGTGGCCACTTGTTTCTTCTTTGTACTGTCAGAAGTATTCAAAGATCAAGCCCAACTTAGCCGATTTTGCTTTGCTCTCACAAATCTGTCCTTGGCGATGTAAGTCAAACACTGTTGTCTCTGAAATTTAGTACACTTCTTTTTTTCTATTCTCGACAATACACAACTATTCAGAGAGAGCGACGTTTTCATCGTAGTCTTCATGATATCCCTTGGGCTTCATCAGTTTCACTCGATTATTCCGCTCAGCTCAAAACTCGGGATATCTTCGAAAATTGTGGCAGTTAACGATCATCGTGGAGCATATAATGCATATTTTCATCAGATGTCTAGCACATGGAAGATATAAGAGTATTCGCAGTAATTATGCTATAAAGTTTTTCATACTGGAAACTTGTCACAAGATTTGTATGTTTTTAAAGTAGTCAGATATTGATCATTACCTTCTTAACCTTTTGATACTTCAAATGCTCAGAATCATGCTTGTAATTTGCCTACTTTCATAAGTTCCTGCAGTATTTTCAAGTCGGGGAGGAGGTGTGTAGTGGCAAGTGGCGCACTATCACAAATGCATGGCCATGATTCCAGTCCCATATCGATGTCCGCCCAGATCAACCAAGCCTTCCTTCCCTCCAGGGTCGGCCATTTATATCATACTCATCTGGGAGGATGAATGCAGTAGCTTGTCCATCGCCTGGTCACTGCATTTCAGGCCAGTGCTCATTCAATACGCCACTACAGTTCTTATTAAAAGTCGTATGTGGGTGCGCATCCCTCAGACGGAATTGATCAACTCCCAAAGATGTTATGCTGTGAATTTTTTTCAAAGCATTTCAAAACACAGGCTGTACACCAATCGAGACAATCAAATGGATACTCTAAAGCAGACATCCGCTCTTTTCCCAAGACCAGAGCATTATAGAGTCCATGTTTACTGCTTAAACAAATATGAGGGAGGGAGCGCAACCAAATGAACGACCTTTCTAAAGAAAATGAAAGGGATTCGATCTGACATGCTCGGAAGTGGACATCTCGTCAAAATCTGATTTATCTTCAAAGACTTACAACTAGAGGAGGAGGACGTTTGCTTTCCACCTGTTGCGGAGTTGGGAACGCTGGAAAGTGCACAATCAAATTCTTTCATTCAGAGAGGCAATTTATGATCTTGGAAGAAGTTCGCGTTCCATGAGTTCAAAAAAACCAAACATTTCCGGATTCCAATTTTCCTTTCCCACAGCTTCATGAATTTTGTTGTCTCTCCAGAAGACACAGCCCACCCTTGGTCTCTTCAACTTGATTGGTTTGTATCGTTATATTTCTTGTTCAACAGGTGATTTTACCTAAGTGTCTACCGGCTGCTCATTTCGCCAACGTGTTTTTCTATATGAATGACAGTCTGACTAATACTTTTCAGTCTGTGGATTAAGTGATCTGTGAAAATTCTCTTCAACTTCGAATCTGTCTATTTACCTGGGTAAAATGTTCATTTTGTCTCGTCACTGATAATATCCTGATAAGCAGTAAAAACCCAGAGTTGTAAAAATACTAGCGAAATGCTAGTGTTTCCTTGGCTTCTACATCTTTCGTTCCAAACTATTTACTTTGCTGACGTTCATAGAAAGGCTGTAACGATGGCTGTCGTAATTCCCGTCTTTGCCGAGAAGCTTACTCGACAAGGCCCCCAGTAACACTTGAGCAGGCAATAGGTGGAAGCTGGTAATGGATAAGATGATTATTAAGTATTCAACTCTCCTGCTTATTCATGTAGCGCGACACATCGATAAAGCTACTCCAGGTTTGTTGGGAGTTGCACGTAAAGAATGAAGCGCTTTACATGAGTCAAACTTTGAAGATTTTTCTTAGGGCCCGTGAGGCATTTGCCACAGAATCACTTTTTCATGTGCTCCAGCTAGCTTATCAAAAAAAAA